TATTTTTATTTATTATTTATTATATAACTTATTATATAATTATATACTAATTAATTTTTTAGTGGTAACTGAAGAATAAATTAATTAGCCGTAAAATTTATTTGTAATATCCCAAAATTTTTGAAATTTTAGACATATTTATGTATAAATGAATACATTAGTATAGGTGAATTTAAATTTAAGTTAGGGATTTATATGAGAGGAATTATTATTACTGGGATTAATAATTAAAAAAGTTCAAACCTAAGGGGCATTAAAAGTGAAATTTGGTGATTTAAAAGGGGGCCAAGGCTGGTTTTCTTTTTCTCCTACCCAATTTTGTGTGTTCCTCTCCAACCCTCACCAGAATTTTTCCTCCCCAAGCCCTTGCCTTGCCCTAGCACACTGGCTATTGCAACCTCCCAATCTCTTGATCTATGTTGGATTTGCTGTCCATAGTGAGAGATCACCATTTTCCAGCACCTTTTGGTTCTAAGTCACCACCATCTCCTTGAAACCTTGAATACTTGCTGTTGTAAGCCTACAAGAATAGGTAAGTAAAAGTATGGTAATTGTAATATCCCAAAATTTTTGAAATTCTAGCATTTAAGTTAAGGACTTGATTGTGAGGAAATATTATTGTGGGACTTAATAGCCAAAATATCCAAACTTGAGGGACTTAAAAGAGGGAAGAATTTGGATAAGGATGACTGATTTTTTTCTCCTTTTCCTCTTTCTTCTTTAGCCCGATTCTGCTCTTCTTTTCTTCCCCCTGCACCGAGCAAAAAGAACCCAGCCAAGCCGACAACCCCACTTGGAAAACCGGTAAGGAGGCTTGTGTTTTTCCGTTCTTTTCTTGTTCAAGAACAAGATTTAGGAGCTTAGAAACCTTCTCCCCCTGCAGGAAATTCCAGATCTGCTCTGCTTCTTCATCCTGTCCGTTTGCTACTCTTGCTTGTAGGTGCGAATTTCCTTGATTTTTCGGTAAGAACAGCCATGAATCTCCCTTCTCCAGCTTTAATTGCCTTGGGTTTACTCTAATTTTGTGTTGTTCCTTCAATTTTGGGTTAATTCCGTGAGTCCCCTGCAGAATTTTTCCTTCCATGCCGCCGGCCTTCCCCCAAATTGCAGCTCCGGCCTTGCTTGCTGGATTCTAGTATGTGACAGCCCCTTTGAGCTTAAAATTATCCTTTAATTGCTGAATTTGTCCATTTAATTACTACCCCATGTGCTGTCCGAATTTTGTTGAATTAGGGGGATGAATTCCGGTAGCTTTAGGACAAAATTAAGCATTAATTCAAGTGGAATTTATGTGATTGAGTGTTAATTGACTGCTGTGAGATTTTGGAGAAAAATCCCGTGAGATTAGCTATGGTTTTGCCAATTTTTGGAAGTTGCAATACTGTTCATTGCGTGATTACTGTTCATGGTACTGTTCACGGGTACTGTTCACGCACTGATGGCCAACAATTAACGGGGATTTAAATGTTTGGTTTGTAATATAAGAATAAATTTGGAGATGTCCGATCATATGGAGACTAATAGAAATAGCATTGTGGTTAAGGGTGATCCTAATGAAGTTTTCACTTTGAATTTGTGATAATACGGTATTAATTATAGGGTATTTTGATTAGGTTCTTGAGTGTTCTGTCACCCGAGTACTTGGCTTGAGTTCCGGATTTGAGGTAAGTAAATTTATGGTAATGTCATATAGTTTTTAAAAGCATGTTTTGAATTGTTTTTGAAGTGGTGGCGGGACTAAACCCGTTTTATATAAAAGTAAGTATGACTGATTTGAAGTGAAATTTTTATGTTTTTCATTAAATTGAGCATGCCTACTTGAAATTTAATTGATTGTCCTGATAATCTGAAAGTGATTGGTGAATTATGGTTTTTTTCTGTTAACTTCTTCCTGTTTTGTCTCCGATGGGGTCATGTTATTAGTGTGCCTGCTAGTGGGAGGTTTATAAACGCTAGCACATGTCGACATGTTATTGATAGAACCGGTTCATTCGAGTGACCCTGCTAGTGGGGGTTATACATCAGCAAATAGTGTAGCCTGCCAGTGGGAGGTTTATAACACTGGCTATGGCCTATAGAGGAGACGTCTATTTCGTTCCCGTACTGTATCCGTTTTTTGTAATTACACTTGTTGGCATGCTATAAGTTTAATAAGGGGCACTCCATATTTACTTACTGAGTTATCTCATAATTTTTCCTTGTCCACCATTTCAGGAAGCGAAGTCAAGGACGGGAAAAACGAGGGGACTGACGAGTTAGAAGGCTAGTTATTTTGTAAAATCGATATAGATTTTAAATATAGATCATGATCTTGTAATCTAGATTTTGATTGGAGATTTTATAAATTCATTTAATGGATTGTTAGTTTACAAGAGATTTGACCTTGAGATTTTGAGCTTAAGTCATGTTGGACATAGAATTATTTTGAAATATCTGATTTAAGTTATTGGATTGTCAGATGTGAATTGGATAAGTTCCGAACCTTGTGCATTTGTGGGATCCTCTTACAAGTGTACGGCGCCTGCCACGTCTTCGGATTTGGGTTCTGGGGTGTGACAGTAATGCTCTTGGATTTGAGGTAAAGGTTTTTGAAATGGTAGCGGGACTAAACCTATTTTACACAAACACGAGCATGATTGGTTTGAAATGAAATTATTATCATTTTCATTGAATTGAACATGCCTACTTAGAGTTTACTTGACTGCCTTGATGATCTAGAAATTATTTGTAAATTATGGTTTTCTTGTTAAATCCTGCCTGGTTTTTGTCTCCAATATGGTCATGTTTTACTGTGCTCGCTAGTAGGAGGTTTATAAACGCTAGCACATGTCGACATGTTACTTATGGAACCGGTTCATTCTTGTTATACCTGTTATCCTACTAGTGGGATTATACACTAGTAAATCTTGTGCCTGCCAATGGGAGGTTTATAAATGCTGGCCATGACCTATAGAAGAGACGTCTATTTTATTCCCGTATTGTACTAGTTTTTTTTCTTAATACTTGATTACACTTGTTGGCATGTTATAAATTTTAATTAAGGGCTATCCATATTTTTACTTACTGAGTTATTTCACATAAATTTTTCCTCATCCACCATTTCAGGTAGTGAGACCCAAGATGTGGGAAATCGAGGGGAGTGACGAGCTAGAAGGCTAGCCATTACATTTTGAACGTAGATTTTGAGTTGTAGATTATTCTTTGTAAGCTAGATGTTATTTTGAAATATTGATATAAGTTTATGTGGACTATTAGTAATGAATTTAGCAAATTCCGAGCCTTATGCATTTGTGGGATTACCTCACAAGTATACGGCATCTGTTTCACCCCCGGATTTAGGTTATGGGGTGTGACATTATCATTTAATTATAATTATAAAAAAATAAATTATGTAAACAAATCTATTTAATAATATGAATTCAACCTTTTTATCTTCTCATATTCTGTCTTCTACTTTTTATCTTTATAATCTTAATTATTTTATCATTATTAGTTTTCATTATATATATAATATAATGCATTAAAATGAAGGAAGATGAATAGATGCTTAAAATTTATGCAAAATAAATACATAGGATTGTAATGCATGGCATAATAAGTATTTGTGCGGTTACAATTTTTTCTAACCTTTTGGTTTTCTTCTTCTCTATGTACAATGCCCTTCCATCTTCCTACTCACCTGTATATAAACCCTCACTTTTCTCTATACCAATGTATTATATTCTCCTTTTCATCTCTTCAATTTCATTTTATTAATATGGTGAGTTCTAATTTTTTTTCTTTTTTGTTTCCTATTTCGTATTATATCTAAATATAATATTATATTTTTATTTTATATATCTTTTTTTCATTTTAGTCCAAAATATGTATATTGTTGTATAAACTATTTTCCTTATTAGTCTTATTATTTTTTTATGAATTTTTTTTATAGAAGATATGATAATTGTTTTTTTGAAAGAATTTTATAACTTTATCTATTTGAAATTTATGTATTATTTTCTTTTTAGATTATTAATGGTTCTGTTTACACCTAAAATAAACCAATAGGGTAAGGCCACGTGTTAAGGTAAAGCCCAATTATTAAGAAAATCAATGGGCTGGATTTGGGCTGGGTTAGCTTGCAATTTAATGGCCCAGACGAATTTCCAAGGAGGTTGGATCCTAGGTGGCAGAAGATAAGATGGGATCTGGTAGTTTGGGTTTAATTTAAAATGGGAAATTGAGGATTTTTAGGTAGTTATCCTTAAGGTTGTTGGAGATAAGGTTAAATAAAATTGGATAACTGTCAAAGTAACTGCCAGACATGAACCCCACTACCAGATTATGGAGGAACAGTACCGACATTCATGGAGGAAGTTTCCAGCACTGAAAGAGAGCAAAAACAGAGAGAAGAGAACAGTTATCGGCCTGCCCAGAACACACACAGACTGCCCAGAGCATGTTTTTTCAGCTTTCAGACTGCATTTTTCAGATTTCAGCAATAGCTTCCAGATTTTCCAGACTTTCCAGATTTTCCAGATTAGTTCATAGCCTTAGCCTAGGTTTGTTCATCATATTTTCTCC